GTCTTTGGTTAGTGTTTAGAAGCCCCAATTTGGTACCCAAAGGTCTTCTATTCATTCAGGGGCAGAACTGTCTGGGACTGGCTCCCAGAGGTTAGAAAAACAAGCAATGGCCAGAGGCCACCTGGCAAAGATTGGCAGGGAGCTGGGAAGGAAGGTGTCTCTGACATTGTACTAGTCCCTCCACTACTGTCAGTGTTGGCTCAAAATTCTCTCTGTACCTCAAAAACCTGATGATTGTTATGTAGTATCTATTTTTTTAAATTTTTCTTTTGGTTCTCTCATCATATCTAGTTAAGTCATTTTTGAATACCTGTCTTAGCTGCATGAAAGGACACTAAAGAAAGGGGGTTTACTTGTGTCCAGGCTAAATTTTAAAGGAGAAATGGGGTGTTCCAGGGAGACAGGCATGGCAGTGGCAGTTGGAATCAAAGTGTGATACTTCCAGGAGAAGATGCAACTTTGGAAAGGTCTTAGGTTTGGTGACAGAGGTGGAAATGAAGATTCACTTGGGCAGTCATTTATTTTACATGGAGAAATCTCCTTCCAGAAAATCTGTTGGTTCACACTATGTTTAATAAGATACTCTTACAAGATTCCTTCCGGTTCTACAATTTGACAACCTGTTTGTTCAAACAATTCTTCAGTGGTTTCTTGACTCATTGATTAGTTCAAAATTTCAGAGACTAGAGCACATTTTTGGGAAAAGGAAGTGATATTTTCTTCTTCCCATTCCCTACACAGATATATGGCAGTCCTAGACCACCTGATAATGGAAAATCTGGATTTTCCCTTCACTATTATTTTCAAAGCAGTTTTACAAAAGACTTTCCCAACTATGACAGAAACTGTTAATTGTCTCACAATATCTGCTGTTCTAGTCTTCCTTTTAATGGAAAACCCCCCTAATTTTTAGCTGGGCACATGGCTACCCTTAGAGACTATATTTTTCAGGATCCCTTGCAGCTAGATATGTCCATGTGACCAAGATCTGGCCAGTAGGCTATGAGTAGAAGTGATGTGTACAACTTCTGGTATATCCTAATACAGAAGCCACTGTCCTTGACATCCTCTTTCTTGTTTCTATAATCTGGAACAAGGACAGATGATGGTGAGCCAGTTTTGGTTATGCAAATAAGGGCAACATCATAAAGGATGATAGAGCAAAAAGATGAAAAGAACTTGGGTCCCCACAAAGCCCTGTCCTGCTTTGTGTGTTTTCTACCAGCTCAGACCTTTATATAAGAGACGAATCTATTTTATTTAAGCCACTATGTTACTTTTAGAGTCAGATAAAAAAGTAGTAAAAAGGTTATTTTCAAACAAAATTTGTTGTCTTGTGATAAGCTCTAATTTCTGTTCAGTAGGGCCCATATTCAGTAAAGATAACCCCAAAGTGTGGCGTTACTGGCCATTCTGGTTTATCTTTCTGTTTCTTAAAGTAGCAAATCAATATGCTAATAAATGCAGCAAGTGTTCTTAGTGTATTTAAATCATGACCTGATTTTAAAAATTTTGTGCTACACACATTTTCAGGAAAGCATTTATTACATAAATCAAGGTATACCTCTATTGTCCATGGCAACACTATCCTTCTAGTCTCCTAGACGGCAAATCTCGTATTCATCTCTGACTCTTCTCTTTCCTTTTTTGCCCATGTTCAATTAGTCATCAAGTCTAGGTGAAATTTTTCCTTCGTAATGCCTGTGAGATTTGACTCTCCCTCTCTATATCCATAGCCTGCCCTCATCCATGTTATCACCATCTTATGCTCAGTTTACTAGAGTAATTCTTAGTTGTCTCCAGGTCTCTGGTGTAGCTGACTTCCAGCCTACCCATTACCAGATAAGTCTTCCCAAAACAGCTTCTTCACTATGTCATTTCACAACCTCCATATTTCCAACTGAACCATATGAAATTCCTGCTAATTGACTTACAAAAGTGGCAGTTTCATATGGCTAACCTAACAATTAGGCTGAATTCAAAGAATTCCACCCCGTGGGTTCACCTTTTATTTACAATTCCTGTTCTGCCAAATGATCCCTTTATTCAGTTTGCCCAGATTTCTTGGTCTTCCTCTTACCTTGGTGAACTTTCTCCTTGCTGTGCCTTTGTTGGGTGTGATTCGCCCTCCCTAGTAAGTCTTTCTTTCTCTTCTCTGTCAATGTCACTCTCCATTTTCTTCAACACTCAGTTCTAGACTCTTCCTCATGATAGTTCCTGTGATCAATCATCCTTTCCAGGAAACTGAATTCTTAATTTGAATTCCTATAGCATTCTCTAACAATATGAGTATCTTCTGTCCTAAATAAATTGTAAAATCCTCATGGGCTGACTGTATCTTCTAATTTCTTTAGCAATTTTTAATTTTAAAAAGTTCTGCTCATAATGGGTACTTCATAAATACTTTATGACTTAAAAAAGCCATTAAAACTGTTAACTTTCCTAGTCTGGCTAAAAAAAAGACACTCTCAGTAAAGTCCCACAGTTGTCTCTAGAATAAGAAATATGTGACTGGCTACTAGCCAAGTAGTGGTACTTTTTCTACTGCTAGAAGAGTATAAATGGCAGGAGCTTGGGTGACATGGCTCTCCCTATCGCTCTGTCTCTTTCTTGTGGATGCACACAAAGAGGCTCTGAGTCACTCGATCAGTGTGGTTCGAAACTGAATAACCCTTCCGTTTTCTTCCCTTCCTCTAACTCATCAAAGTTCTTTCTTATTCAGAGATTCGTTATTCATAGTACCTGTTGTAACTCTGCTAGACTGTGAATACTCAGGGAATGTTGACTCATGTTTGATGAATGCATATGTGAATGATCAGCAGAGTTCTTTCAAGGGAGAGCAAAACTAAAGGCTGAGAAATAGCAGGTATCAGTACTAGGATTTTAAGCCTTCTGGCTCTAGCAGTATCAGAATGCTGTCTATGGCCCTCACCAAGTGTCATTTTTGTGTTGCTCAAAAAGGAATGATTGGTTCTCAAGACTTGTAAAATCTCAAAAGCTCACAAAGTCAGGTGAAAAGTTGCTTAGGACTTACCTCATGAGTACCTTTTCCCAGTCTCAACACTCACATCTTCCTGTGGCATGACAGGGCTCAGACACAGCCTGTAAGTGCTAGGTTTGTTCCTTCATTGATCAAAGTCAACACAAAAGGCTAACAGGAAGGAAGGAGGAATTAGAGGCAGACACCATTAGGTTATCAATTTGTAACTACACCTTTTTCCATGGCTGGAAATAACCCTGATTAGGATAGTGTTATGGTGAATTCTATGTGTCAACTTGACTAGGCCTAGGGGTGCCCAGATTAAGCAGTCTTTCTGGGTGTGTCTGTGAGGATGTTTCCAAATGAGATTAGCATTTTAATCGGTGGACTCAGTCAAGCAGATTACCCTTTCCAGTGTGAGAGGGCGTCATCTAATCCATTGAGGGCCTGAATAGAACAGAAGAACAGAAGGCAGAAGAAGGAGGAATTCGTCCCTTTTGCTTCCTGCCTGCCTGCCTGCGAGCTTGGCATCGGTCTCCTCCTGCTGTTGGAGTGGGATTTATGTCATTGGTGCCCCTGGATACTGGGCCTTTGGACTCAGATTGGAATTTACACCACCAGCGTCTGTTGGTCTCGAACCTGCAGATGATGGGACTTCTGAGCGTCCATAATTGTATATATTTATATTATATAGATATATAATATATATGTACCTATGTATCTAAGGGTTCCATTCCTGTGGAAAACTCTGACGAATACAGATGACTTTAGTGTGACTTCTCTAGGCGTCTGATTTTTCTAATCTGAAATATTAAACAGTGGGATCTCTTTCCATGGTTAAAGGGTATTGTCTATGATTCTGGAGAGGAAAGAATTTGACCAGAGTTTGTAAATGATTTAATGATTAGGAAATACATCCTATCAAGACTTAGGAATTAATATTATTTGAATTTATATTATTTAGTCTGGAGGGGGAAAAGGAATGAAGAGTACCTTTATAATGTTTTTAAAATATAAGAAAATTTGTTGACCAGTTATTCTCAATTTCACCTGAAAATAGAGGAAAAATAAGGAATGAATTTCAAAACACCATGGGGAATGTAAGACTGACTTTTCTGCTACTTTAGATAGTGGTTCTCAAATTTTAATGTGCATAAAACCCCCAGGAGCTTCTTTAAGATGCAGGTTCCTGGCCTCTAAACTTAGCAGTTCTGACTTGGTGGTTCTGGGGTGCAGCCTATGAATCTGTATTTTAATTTTTTTTTTCCCAAGCCAAACTGTATCGAGCTTTATTAAAGACACTTTCTGTAAACAATCATAGCATTTCAGGCAGGATATGGGCAGACAGTCGTTGACAGTATACAACAACTTTCAAACTCCCTTCTTCAATGGACTACCAAAAATCAGAAAACCACTATTAAAACTTAATGAAGTCTTCATCTGATGCTCTGAACAGGAAAAGTTTAGAGTGAGGGTTGACATTTCACATATAGCATGTTGTTTAACAACTTTTCACAAGCCAACTCTGACTTTCAGAAAGTGAAATGAAAATGGCAGAATTTATCTGAAGATCCATAATCTAGAAACGGAACCACTGCTGTTTTGACAGGTGCCATCTCAGTGGCATCACTGGAAAGTCCAGATTGCCTGACACACTGGTAACCAATGACTGGGGGTCAGGTCCCAACAGATGTCTGGGCTTAAGGGAGTTAAGTCTATGCTGAAGGAGGGAAAGGGAGAAGAGGACATAAAAACGAATTTGTTTTTCCATACCACAAGGCTTTTGTGTCAAGGTGGCCATGTGTGTTAAAGTCAAGGAATCCCTCCTCCTGGGAGCCAAGAGGAAGTCTCTCAAAACTAGAAGGGAAAGGTATTTTCCCCACATCAATCCAGCTTCAGAGACATTGCCCCTTCAGACAGCATTCAGTGACATATGCCCCTTCCCCCGAAAACAACAATGAAGTGTTCTGTCTGCTAACAACACAGCTTAAAAAAAACAAAAGTAAAGCAAAATTCTGCATTTTTATAAAACTTGATAAAAAATAGTATTTCAAACTGTACAGTCACCAGAAGTACACAGTTATCCAAAATGCATACACTTCACTTGGCATCTCCAGCACCTTCAGCTTTCTGTGCCTGGTCTGTTTTGGCATCTCCATTTTCTGCAGGATTAGTCCCCTCCTTGCCAGCATCAGCTTTTCCCTTTCTCCCTTTGGGTACCTTCTCTTCCTTCTTTGCAGGGGCCTTTTTAGGCTTGGGCTCTGGCTTTGGAGGAGCAGGTTTAGCAGACAACCTCGCAGATCTTCTCTGTGGTTCATCCTTCACCTTGGCTTTATCTCCTTTAGCATCCCCTTCAGCCTTTCTCTTGGGCATGATGGTGGCAGTGACAGCGGCGGGACACAGGCGCTGGGCACGGGATGCAGCGGTGCGTGGGCTTTGGTTGGTCCAGAGGCCGGTCTCGCCTCTTCTTTTTCACACTGCTCCTGTATGTTAACTTTAATTAAATTAATTAATTAATTTATTATTTATTTATTTATTTTGGAGACACAGTCTTGCTCTCTTGCCCAGGCTGGATTGCAGTGGCATGATCTTGGCTCACTGCAACCTCCGCCTCCCAGGTTGAAGTGATTCTCCTGCCTCAGCCTCCTGGGTAGCTGGGATTACAAATGTGAGCCACCGTGCCTGGCCTGAATCTGTATGGAGTGCAGTGGTGCTATCTCAGCTCACTGCAACCTCCGCCTCCCGGGTTCAAGCGATTCTCCTGCCTCAGCCTTCTAAGTAGCTGGGATTACAGGCCCCCACCACTATGCCCAGCTAATTTTTTTTTGTATTTTTAGTAAAGATGGGGTTTTACCATGTTGACCAGGCTGGTCTTGAACTCCTGACCTTGTGATTCTCCCGCCTTAGCCTCCCAAAGTGTTGGGATTACAGGCATGAACCACCATGCCCAGCCCTGAATCTGTATTTTTAATAAGCCCCTAACCCCCCAAGTTGAAATAAGGTGGATTGCCCTTAAATCATACTTTGAGAACTGCTGGGGTGGATGGCTGAATAGAGTGAATTCTTAGGGAATTCATTGAGCTTTTCTTCTCTAGAACACTTTATAAAGTTATTTTTGTTTTATTTTATTTCACTTAAATACAGGAAAGCTTATCATTTGTTTAGGAGGTTGTACTAAGTTGAATAGTATCTCTCCAAAATTCATGCTCTCTCCAGAAATTCAGAATGTGACCTTATTTGAAAATACAGTCATTGCAGACATAATTGGTTAAGATGAGATCATATGGGGGTAGGAGAGGCCTTTAATCCAGGGTGATTGGTGTCCACATAAGAAGAGGATGGGAGACACAGGGAGAATGCCATGTGGCAATGGAGGCAAAGATTGGAGTGTGATGCATCTATAGGCCATAGTATGCCAGGGATTTCTGGCAAACCACCAAGACATGGGAGGATCCTCCCCTAGAGCCTCCAGATAAGGCATGACCTTGCTGACACTTGATTTCAGCCCTCCAGCCATCAGAACCATGAGAGAACATATTCCTATTCTTTGAACCCAAACATTTGTGGTGTTTTGTCACAGCAGCCCTAGGAAACAAACATAGGGAGTTTGAATATAATCCTGCCACTAGGCAGAGCAATAGATGAGCTCTCAAGATGGGCATTTATTGTTTTATAGGCTTGTTCACTCACATTTTGAAGGGTAGGTATTCAAATATTTGCAACTGTCATGAACCAGACAGAGGTTTATCAATATTCATAACATCTTTTCCCTAAACTATACCTTAAAACCTACCCTATATGATTTTAATTATCTGAGACAAATGGGCTTTTGAATTTTTGTAAGATTAAAGAAGTAAATGCATTTATTTTTGATAATAAACAGAACACCTCAAATGTTCATGCCAGAAAATAAATCATTTTGAGGTTGGGTTGTCAGTCATGAACAGATTTGAAGTCACTTTTTCCTCTTAAAATTCTAGAAGTTAATTTCAAGGATAAATCAGATTTTTCCATTGATTTGAAACAATGAAATTTTGTGTGGGAAGTTTACTTACTTGAATGAGACTTCTATAACTTGGACATAGAAGAAAAACTCATGCAAGAAATTGAAGTTATTTTCCTATAATACATGTTAAAAGAATCCTTCTTTTTTGGTAGCTGCTTTGTAATTGTTAAATTTTACTGACAGATTTCACTTCTGAAGACTGAACTCCGCTTATATTCTGTGGCTGTTCATTTTTTAGTGAACTTATCATCTAAAAGCCATAGGTTTGCTGGCATTTAACTTGCAATCTCCTACTTCCCAGATAGGTGCTGTATTATGGTGTAACATGATAGAGAAGGGGCAAAGAACTTGGCTTGTTGCTGGCATATCAGTTCTTTCCATTAATAAAACACTCAACTGAGTCATTTTCTCTGGCCACTTTTCCCCTGTAAAAAAAACCTAAATCAAAGAACGGGACTGCTTTTATTGGCAAAACAGTAGATAAATCAGGGATGTAAAAATGCAAGAAGGATTCAGTACAAGCACTACCCAGAGTGGACTTGCTGGGTGAAAGGTTTATTCTGTCAGTTTTCCTCTTGAGACACTTAGGTTTAAGGAAATGTTTGCACTGTTCTAGAGAATAAGTTGGCTCTGTGTTTTCTTTTGTGTTTAGGCCACTCTGGAAGTAATTCCTCTGGGCACAATTATCTAACATATGGTGATTTAGAAAAAGCTCAAAGCAAAGGTCATTTGGATGTTTTAGGCAGGAAAGAAGAAAATCCATCTTGGAGAATAAAAGGAAGTCAGAAAGGGCTGAGGTACAACTTATGGTCAAAGGGATGTGAAAAGGAAAAATGAGGTAGATATCAAGCAAAAATTGCAACAGAAGCCTTTTGTTTTTGCTTTTGTTTCTGTTTATTTTTGCATGAGGAGTGTGCACTTATAGATGAAAGCAAAGGCTATATCAAAGAAGTTTGGTGCTGGAGATGGCATGAAAGAGATCAAGTCCAGTGTGTGACCCATGTGTGTGGCCTATGCCACTGAGCAGGACCCTGTGAGCAAGTGAGCCCCATACCTGGATCTGGTTTAATGCTCCATTGTTGTTGCTTTGAAATTCTTCATTTTAACATTAGGCCTTATCTTTTTATTATGAGCTGGATCTGCAAATAATGTAGCAAGTTCTTAAAAAAAAAAAAAAGGTCAATTCTCAACCCCCCCACCCCCCCCGCTTTTTTTAGGTGAATAAATTAGGTCCAGAGAGGACAAATGACTTGTGTGGTGGAGCCAGAAATAGAGCCTGGCTTCTTGGGTCAAAACTGCAAATGAATTCACATTCAAAGTGTCTAAACAAAGAGAAGTGCTGCTTTCACCCTTTTGTTGAAAAGAAACTTCCTCATGCATCATAAATGAGCCAAATAAAACACTGAAATAATCTAAAAGGAAGAAAGATCTGGATATGACTGGATAGGAAGACCTCACATTGAGTTTTCAAGTCACTTCTAAAAAACCTGAACTGCCATACTCCTCCCTTCAGCATCAGCCCTCACATCACTCTCTGAGGCCAGGGAATTCTGGCACTCATTGCCTTCTAACCCAAAGGGCCATGTTGTCATTAAGTCTAAGCAGAGGATCAAGCTAATTGCTGTTTGGGTGCTGTGGAAACTGGCTGTCCTGCATTATGTACCTTGATCACTGGTGCTGTCCTAGTAAAATAAATTAATTTCAATAATGGTGCACTTGTCTTCTTGCAGGGCCAGGAACAGAATGAAGATCAGTGCAGCATCAGTCAAGCAACGACCAACACTAAACAGCAGAACAGAGTGTCATGCAGTAGCAAGCGGTTGCCTCACTTCAAAAAGGGAGCCAAACTCGGAGCAGAGCAGCCTGAGGAGCATTCTCACTGAACAAACATGTCTCCAGAACTGCAGTGCTCTGTATCTCCAGGCTGACACTGCTATCAGAATGAAAACATTTGGTGGATTCTAGATGAAGCAAGCTGCATTAAATAGTTGGTTTTTAACTTCCTTTAAATATTTGAACAAAAGAGCTGCCTTTAATCACCAACCCCCAAACAACTCTCCACAACTTTCTGGTGATAAACAACATCTGTAGAAATAAAAAGGTAGGTTTGCAAGCAAGGCGCTGTGGCTCACATCTGTAGTCCCAGCTACTCAGGAGGCTGAGGTAGGAGGATGGCTTGAACCCAGCAGTTCAAGGCTGCAGTGAGCTATGATCACAACTTTGCACTCCACCCTGAGTGACAGAATGAGACCTTCTTTTTTTTTTTAAAAAAAAAAAAAAAAAAAAAAAGTTAGGTTTGCGACTCTGCCTGGGGGTTGCCAACTGAAATTCTATTGGGCCAGAATGGGCAAAAGAATTCTCAAAACACTTTTTCCCCCATGAGAAACATCCTACTTAGAATACCTTGGTGTACTCAGAGATGAATAGGTAGGCTGGTGTTAGCTGATTCACAGAGAAAAATGATGTCTGAAATAACCCAATTCATTGCCAGATTCAAGGAACTTGATAAGAATTAGCTCTCTTTCTGATGGACTGCTTACTCACTACAATTTGAAGAGGTGGCAGGGATTTTACTGGGAAAGAGGAGTCAAGTGTTTAGAAAATACAGCTCAAGCTCTTTAATAAACGAAACATTCCAGATTTTCTCAAGTGTCTGGTGAGGGTGTGGAAGGGTGAGGCATCAGATACTTTCCATGTGCAGGTCAAGTAGAGAGAAGGGGAGTGTGGAAATGCAAGAAAACAAACTTAAGACATTTATCTTGGCAGGATTTTTACATCATAACATCTTGGAGCTGAAAAACACTCTGAAACTCCACTCACATTTTATAACTGAGAAAACTGAGGTCCAAGGAGATTGTTAATACTTGAGGCCACTTGGCCAGTTAGAAACAACCACGTCACTAACCTCCAAGTGTAGTCTTCTTGCATAAAATGTGCCACCTGCGTAAGTGCTAAGTGGGGAGAGGCTCTGGGAGGAGGAAGGTGGTCTCTGTTAAACACTGAGGCATGGTAACATTCACTTCGGGTGTCTTGGTGGCTCAAAGTGCAGATCTTGGGACTGAATTTCCGAGCTGGCTTGGGGTTTTGGTTGCTGCAGAAGCTAAGGAGGACTCATGCCAAGCACCTTTCTCAAATCACTCCACATCATGACCGCAAGGGTAGACAGCAAAAGGAAAGAGAGCTGATGGCCCTGAGCCACTCTGAAAGGCTGGGTCTCCATAACCACAGAAGCAATAGCAGCCACAGTGATACTACCAGAGGTGCAGACTACTTTCTCTGAGTTCCATTTCTGAAAGCTAGATTTCTTTTTTTTTACCTCTGGAACACTGAGCCCCTAATCTGCCCAGGTTTGGATGAACAACTGAGAGGAGAAGGTAGAAGTAATACATAGTGAAGCAACTGTTACCATCGCGTGTATGTAGAATCAGCTTCTGCAAGGGAGCT